TTTGAATAGTGACACTTCCCTTCCAGCTAAAAGGTATCAACTACATGTAGTCCATCCCTCAATCTGATTCACCTTATTTTCTCTGGTCTAATAAGCCTTTTGTGAGTTAAATTTGAATAATATCTGGTACACTGAGTTCTTTAAACATATGTGAACCCAACAATTTGAATTCTCCATACTATAAAGACACTGATTCTATATACCTGATGATTTGGGACAAGCTAAATAAGAGACGCCTTGCATCAATACACTGTTTTCAATGGATAAAAAGGGCACAAAGGAACCAGTCCATTCCAGAGATGGTGGTCATTATACAAAAGCTTGCCCCGAATCACGAGGTATAGCAACAGTGTCTTTAGTCTGGGGAATTCAAATTATTACGTTTCTATGCAATCAGATAACACAGTGTACCAAATTTTATTCAAATTTAACTCGCAAAAGGCTTAGGTTGTGTCCAAGACAGGATTCCAGAGCTACGGCTAGGTCTATTGTCTACACGTCTCCACACATTTTCAATGAAACGAAGACCTAGACCTAGCCCTAGACAAGAGATTCGGATGCAGCCTTATTACTAAACTTAACTAAAAAACTTTTGAATGGTCGGAAGAAAAATTAAAAAGAAAAATTGTAAATAGCAATAAAAATAACGATACATCAAATTAAATATTATACCAAAGATCAGTGCAAAAAGTATATTAAGTATCAAGGTTGAGTGCAGACTTACCAATTCCAAGCCAAAAAGGGTTCCCATTTCAGGTGAAGATACAGGGCCAATATATCGAACAATAGCAGTGACCTCTTCATAGGGAGCGGTGCTGTCGGGCCTGTGTAGTACTTTCACTTGTGAGCCTCCTCGCAAGCTGAGTGCATACGATATATGGTCCTTATCCAAGTAAATCTGTAACCGATGTGAGTCTGTGAAAAGTGCCCTCAAAAAATCTCTCTCTTGAGTGGAGATTCGAGCGACTTCTGAACTGTTAGATTCAAACTCCAGGTCACCACTGAGTGGCTTGACAATGTAATGTTTGGTTTCTGTCTGTTTGACACCTTTGACTTTATCCACATATTTCTGTCCAGCGGGTGATACTTCATAACCTTCAAGCAGTGTGCCCTTGAGTATTTTCTTGGTTAAGGGCGTGTGTCGCTGATTAAGTAACGAGGAACTTGGCTTCACTTTGAACTCTTTGTCCACAAGGAGAATAAAAGAAATTTTTTGGGCCTGCGTGGCATGGTCAGTGATGTGGGTAGAGGTACTATACCCATCCTGATATGATGCGGCCCGTGTTGAAGAACCACTGCCAATCAATCTCTCACGGGAGGTAGCAACTTTGCTATCTCTGTAACCTGCTATTCCTCCGGCACCTGCAACTGATGCTCTCTTGTCAGTGCTTGCCGGATGTCTGCTGGCACCAGTGGACGTGGCGCTCTTGGTAACAGGTCTGGTACCTGTACTTGGTAGAGTCCGGGCATCTCTGGGTGTCATTGAATTATTCCGGCCAGGATTTGCAGCATTTCTGCCGGTGTTGCCACGATCAGAGCGTGCTGCCATATTGGTCACCGGATACATGCCTTACGTACATGTAACTAACTGACATAAAGTCTGCCTCTATCATCTGCTTGAAGAAAATAAAGCATCATTTCATATTAATGTCAATTTAGAACATGGGGTAATTAAGCTTAACAATTTTTTTAAAAAGTCCTCTATTATAGCTACTGATGCTCTGGTCTATGGAAAAGACATTTGCACAGACATGTCTCCGACTCAAAACATCAACATCTCTGTCTTCAACTCTTCACAGGGCATACATGTACATGTTCCAGCAGATAGCCCGTCAAACAACTACATGTAGAGGTCTTCAAATGTGCCACTTCTAAAGAAAACCTTGGAAAGAGGTCCAAATATGGACACCACTTGGCACCCCATGCACAAACCCTGTGAGACTGGTTGGAAAAATTCTAAGCGTTTTCTGAGTAAATAACTTGGTTTTTTCCTTCCTAAATTGAACTTTTCTGAACATGTTTTTGCTTTCTGATGGCTAACAGGTCACTGTAGGGAATAACTCTTCCCAAAACCTTCAACTACCTCGCACGCTAGGTCAATTTCTCCATGAGTCTGTAACAAAAATGTACTTCACAAGGTCCAAAATAATTCCTTTCTTTATAAAGACTGGTGACATATTGGGGCATGCCCACCTGTGTCAGAGACATTGGGCAAGCCCGAAGTAAATCATGGAAAAAGTTGGAATGCAACAATTGCACACTATGCATCACATTGCATGTTCTTTCCAATGTCATGAATGTGCAGTTTCAGAAGATTGCTTCAAAAAGGGAAGTTACGTCAGAGATTTCATACAGAGAACAGAATGTGGTAACAATCATGCTGATCAGCTGATCGAACCTAATATCCACACTCGGTGCACATCCAACAGCATATCAAAAGATTCCATCTTCAACCAGGTACTTTTTGGCAGAAGAAACAAAGCCTAATTTTGTACAGCCCATTACTGGTACCAGAAACTGCGACCAGATGCCTTGCTCAAATAAAAAGTACATTTGTAACACAGGGTCATGATATTTAGTGTCAACAAGCATCAACAAAGTGTCAACAAGTTATTCCAGCATATTTAAGGAAATACTTTTTATCTGCAATGTTAATTAGGCTCCTACATATCAAACTAAGTGTATCATATCTATCTGAAATGATATTAGAGTGTTGAAATTTGAGTGACAAAATCGTGCCTGTTTGTGCAGTCCAACCAGCCGCCATCTTTTTTTCGCATGGATGGCAGAGGAAAGGAAGATGGCAGCTCCCATACATCGTAAAAAATTTCATTTTTCTGCAAGAATCTGGAAGCAAATTCAGTGTTGCTTTTACACAATGGCAAGTGTTAGAGTCTCTAAAATATGATAAAACCACTTTTAAATCTGTAGAGGGTATTTTCAGGCTGTTGACGCTTTGTTAATGCTACTTGTGCTTGTTGACGTTTACTGACGCTAAATAGCATGACCAGTAACATATGGACATGTATGTACATGTACATGTATGCAGCCTAGGCAGGCTACATATCCATCGTGTAACATCTGTGACCGCATACATGTAGTTGCCAGGTCCATACTTTTGCCACCTATTGTCAAGTCTGATTGGTTTTCACAGTAAGTCGCCAAGTAAGGGACCTGGGCCTGACAACTCTGGACGTTAGTCATGGAGTTTTGCTATTAAAAATAAAAGTAGGACTTAATTTGTTCATATTTAAAGTGATAGAGGCTGCAGTGTGTGCGGAGCAACGATAGAATACAGGGCCAGCCCCTACAATCACTGGCTACGATGTCGCATTGGATGGGAGTGACTCTTGGAGGAAGTTCAAATTGAGTATCCGGTTGGTGGCTACATGGTAATGATGTCGAAAGAGTTCTTTTTGAGAACAAAGCAACATAAATGGAGATGGTCGAAAAAAATCTAAGTCCAAACCGAGTGGCCCTGTTCCGCGTGTGCAAAATCACACCAAGTTATTTTAACTTCTTTCTTAAATTTAGGGACAAGTCATAGGCCTCACTTTAGGCCTAGGACATGTGTAGGAATATGAATGATGAAGACATTGAAAATCATGCCCTTGCTGTTTTTCCACCATGTTCATGTTTTTGTCATTAACAATCATGACAATTAATTCACACATTTTTCATGTTTTTACAAGTTTCAAGAGACGTCTGTACCCAAACTGAAAATCAGAGCAACACTCTGATGGGAATAACGACGTAAAGACTGGAAGTCTTAGCTAAACTCACCTGAATCAGGAAAAACGGCGTTTTTATAAGTTTTATTTTAAGGCAAGCGAAATTCCCCTTTTCGCGACATCATTTCCGGGGGAAGACCCTGATGTCATGAAATCAAGAACACAAGGAGGGCGCTGTTTTCAAACTATTTGCCCCCCCCCCCCGCCGTTCGGCGCCGCTGTAAATAGAGCGCGTTCATCATCGATCTGATCTACAGTGTAGTTTGAAAGACATTTCCAGATGTTGGAAACACCAGCATTAATAAGCTTGAGTCATTTGATGACATTGGCCCTACAAAAATGCATGTTAACTTCTTATTTTTACTTCAAGTTGAATATTCCAAAATTAATGTTTCTGAAGCAGACTCACTTCAAGTTTATAAAAGCATGATAAAATTTAAGGTACTACGACAGATGAAAGTCATGTCCATCATGTCCATGACCTGAAAAATTATATTACGTAGGCCTAATTGCGCCGATATTGGAATCGATTCCTTCCTCCATGATTCCTGTCAAATACGTGAAACATTTAAAATTATACCACTGTAAATTCAGCGTGTAGGTTAAGTTATGACCCGCAAGGTTTGACGTTTTAACCCCAGAAAAGCTTCAAACAGTACATACAGAATGGAGGGCTAGGGGTCGACGGGCTGTCAAAATTTTAAAATAAATAGAAAAATAAAAAATAAAACCCCCTTTTTGAACAATCAGTTCATCCCAGTGTTTCGATTTCCAGAGGTTAAACTGACTTTTGGTCTTCACTTCTGCAATTGGCTTATGTCTTGCTGCAACTACACCCTCAAGTAGCATACAATCACGGATATTCATAAGCTGTACACTTCAGCAGCAACGAGGGCGGACCCGAGGGGAGCAGCATGGGGGCCATCTATCCCATTTTTTTCACTTAAAAACCCAGGCCATATGTTAGGCATGGTAGCAAAAATATATACATGTATTAGAGGCAATAGTAGGTGGTTGACTGGGTCATAGCTCATAAATTTAAGACATATTGCATATAAAATCCCACAAAAAGTTACTTGCTAAAATATTTCCAAGGGCATCCTTTTAAAAATAAAATTCCCTAGGAACATCCAACCTGTAAGCACTTTTATAAACACGGTAACAATTACGCTTGAATCCATTACTGTTGCTAAAGAATACTCCCTTGTACGGAGCTTTAAACATACCAGCATGAGGAGTAAGCATGCTCAAATATCCAGCAATCAACTGAGTACTGCTGTCATGCTGTCGCTAATCTGAATGGAATTTGATGGGACTGGGACCACACAAGAAAACAAATCACATTTTACACGACAAATTGTTCCATTGAAGTATCAACATGACTTTAATGGTAACAACATATCTTTTAAATCTTCCTTGTATATAAAGACAGTATTTGTGGTTGCAATGTCAAACATTTGAGTAATGTTTCAGCTTAATGTGACTATAATTCTTTTGCCATGACCGCCTTCCAGGGACAAATCAGCGTTTTTGCACTCTTTTACAGATTTTCAAAGCTGTCTGGGATTAATCCAATTACAATAAATACTTGCACTATAAACTTAACTTAGAAAAGCCTGTAGTTTTATTCCATACAACAAATCAAGTCTCCATTGTTCCATTGTGGCTTCTAATAACTACCCACATTTCACACACATGGCTACCGGCAAAATGTTTTGACAAGATTGTCTGAAGAAGCCAACAAAAAGGAAATTCGTCAACTTATAGTGGTGCACTCAACAATTAGGCATCCAACTTTGCTGCAGCAATTTAAAAATATTTCAGCATTAAAAGAAAGTGCTTAGAAAATACAATGACGCATTTTATCTTTCGTTTGTTAAGATGTTGCTCTGTGTATTACAACTTGTTTATAAATACTGAATTGTACTATATGGAATTAACCAAATAACTGTTCTTTAACAGTTGATTGAACCTTTTTTCTCTCAAAATTTCAACTGAAAGGATTACTGTTTCAAAGCATTTAAGCACTCCAGATGTTAGAATTACTTGGTAATCATAGAGTTAGTAAATCTGTTGTCATTTTGTCAACAGAGATAAGTTAACTTCAACATGATGTATATGAGATATACAACGGAAGCACTTCACTGTCAAGTCATTGTTGCTTGAAACCTTCCTGAATGCTATAAAATTCTCTACTGTTCAGGAAACCAGTGACGTTTTCTATACATTTTCAATGGACATTGGAACTCTAATCTAAATACTGTACACTGATCGCAATGTGGAGCATAGTCATCATGCCATTATGACAACAACAGTATGTCATTCGTCTATCAATACATAATTTTTGGTCAACTCCAGGCATGAATTAGATTATCAATAATCACAATCAATAATAACGCCAGAAAAAATAATTTGGAATTTATACATTTCATAATCAATAGATGAATCCGGACATTAACCAACATATTCAGCAGTTACTGGAATACAGTACCACCGAACCTTGGCTTAGAAAATCTTCATTTTGACCCAAGTTTTTTCCAGTTTTACATCATTAACATCATTATTTCATGCATATAAGTAAGCCAAGGAAATTCATGTCCTCTAGTTTTGTAGTAAATCTTAAATGTATGGATACAATGTACACGTACAAATAAATTTCAAATATAATCTACTGGAAACATTTTACATTCTTTTTGCTTACATCAAATCAGTTGCAGCAACATGCATAATCTGTCTTTAAGCTAGTGCAAAACTGACTAAATCAACTGAAGTTAGACTTCACAGCTGAGTCACAAACCAAGACTACATCTGCAACGGGCTGCTAGCAACACAATTCTGTCTGCTAGCGGCAAAGATCTGGACCTAGCCCTAGGCACAAGAGCTGAAGCCTGCTTCAGTCAATGTGGGAACAGTATCAAACAGTCTGTTTGTATTTACGTTTTTACATGATAATGAAAGTAATGTTTCCATAAGATGAGCATGACAAAATGAGGTCAAAGTTCAAATTCATTTCCAACTGGTTAGGGCTAGGGAATCGCCGTTTGCAGCTGTGAAGTCCCCCTTGACTTTCTCCATGACAACTTCATCGTTCATAGCCTCAATGGCTGTCAGAGCTAAGGCTTTGGCCACTCGTATCGAGCTACAATGGGCAGTCTCCTCTCCGGCGGCTGCTGTGAAGTCAGCTGTGTTATTAACAACACCGCCCTCTATATCGAAGGCTGGCACAATGCACGGCACAATGTGTGAGACATTTCCAGCATCTGAGGAACCCACGGGCGTAGTCAGCACGTCACAGCATGTGGTGAACTCCATTCCCAGGGCTTGGGCGTGTTTCTTGTAGGTGTCTGCCAGGGTGTCGTTGGAGAGGAGGTTGGAGTAAGGATGATCAGTGAAGTTGAACTCGATCTCGCAGTGCGTTGCCTTGGCTGCGGCTACAAAGGCTGCATTGGCGCGTTGCTGCAAGAAGGCAATGTCAATGTGGTCTTTTGCCCGAAGGTAGAACTTCATCTCCGTTTTTTCTGGGATGATATTTGGTTTGATGCCCCCACTAGAGATTACACCTGTCAAAAAAAAACCAGCCACTGTATGTGTAAGTCAGGTGTAACTCTGGCCAAAACTCACACATTCATGAATCCACATACTCAATTTATCTTCAAGTGTGGTGTGGGAATAAAACATTTAAAATCAACAAATAAGTATACCTCCTAAGTAAAACACTGTTTGCATCAAAGTAAGATGACAAAGAAATGTCCTCCTTTTCACAGGTGAGTAAATATGTAAATTTAAGTACTGATTCCCTCATTCATCACAGGCTAGGAATTTAGAGCATTTCAGTTTGCTTCAAGTCTAAAAAGGTAACTCTGCATCAGGTTCTTTTAGTCATGAGCTGATCCTAATTCCAACAGGTGAATTCACCAGTAGCAATATTCATGTTTCCCTAGATGTGGCAAATGTCAAATCTAGGTTCTCCAGTCCTTTTGAGTGTTGCTTGCTAAAAGTCAAATTAAAACCAGAGGGACATTATTCAAGGCTTACCGTGGATCTGCATGTAAGGTTTCAACTGCTGTCTCATGACGGAGATGTTGTTATAGCAGAGAACGGCAGCATCCAGAGCGTTGCGTCCTTCCCAGGGTTGAGCTGAGGCATGAGCTGCCTTGCCGTGATAGGTCAGCATCACCCTCATGACAGTCAGCATCGTGGGCTTGCTGATGTTGGTGCTGTACGGCGTAACCGTCATGGCCAAGTCCACGTCCTTGAAAAAGTTCTGATTGATGGCGTCGATTTTGGTGCCATTACCTTCTTGGTCTGGACAGCCAAGGACGGTAATCTGAATGAAATAGATGGATGGAAAGAATATCACTGAAGTCTTAGAGTCACAGTTAAAATAAGTGCTTTCTTTCCTTATTTGACATTTATGGAGGATGGTGAAAATTAGGAGCATCTTGGACACTGGGAAAGTTAATTACAAAAGAAATTATGGCATCAGTGACAAGGCTTTGGCGATTCACAAATACTTAAGTCATACCAATTCTTTTTTTTTTTGGTGGAACAAAGAAATGGATTAATGTCACTGCTTATATTGCAAGTGGTATTTGGGGGGGGGTTGTGCAGAGTTAGTTTTCGAGCAGGTTGAGGTGAGACCCTGGGTCTGTACTTAAACTCACATGTATTAAAAATAGTTAAAATCTTGAATTGTAAAAAAAACCTGTAAAACCCTAAAACTTAAAAGGGTAATTCCAGCAGAAAGTGTGGATAAAAGACCACTGAGACACTACTGAATCATCCTGGTCATCTAATCTACTTTTTGAGGTGGCTGGGGCAAAAACACTTTATTCCTAAATTCTTTTTGTTTTTCCCCAATAAAATCAAAGTAATGTAAAGCTAAAAAGTGGTTTGTCTACTTTGTATCCTGCCGCAGCTGTCACTTTTTGAATTGTACACATGTAGGTTTGATCATGCCCTTTACTTCCTAGGTTGAATTGTGATATTAACTTTCATAAAGTGCACATTTACAGCACATAAATGCACATGTTATGCACATTATTAATACAATAGTGCAACAGCAGTCTTTGTCTTGATTATGGAAAATTTACCCACGTGTGGACATCGGTAGAAAGCATACCAGCGTATGTGATCATGCTGGAAACACGTGAACAAGTCTGGCCTCATGACAAAACTAAGGTCAGGTTCCTTTGTGCGCACACTACATTGCGGTGCTAGATTGTCATTTTCCACGTGGACGCTCCTGAATACTGCATTCAATACCGCCCAATGGTGCAAAGGAACTGGTTCACAAAAGACAGGATATCAATGGAATAATAGAACAACTTCTGACCTCTGCCAAGAGGCTCCCGCGCAAATTTGAAGAATGAACAATACTCTATTGGCATTCTAGCCTTGTTACTTCCCAAATCCTTCCAAATCCCCCACTGTAAAGTGTAAGCAACCCGTATGTGAAGTTTCCACGTTTGCTTTGCTCTGATAGCTAATAGGTACTTTCTGGGAGCTTGTGGGGAAAAAAATCATGGCAAGAAGAGTGCACATTTTTATTAACAAGCATTCACTTTTTTGAGTTGTCATGTCTTGCCGTTAGAACTATGGTGCACAGCTGTAGTAGTCATATTCTTTGGCTCTTAACTCCATTTAACCAAATATTATGACTTTAAATCATTTAATTGAATTTACAGGTCTTAGTTTTAAATGTCACTAATTGATAATACCCTTATCAGCATTGCTTTGATTCCTATTTTTGAAAATTAGGCCCATGTCAACAAACGTAAACATGATACCCCGTCAGACACCTCGTGTGTCACAAGGCATCTAATTTTCAATAGGCACTAGTACCAGCATGACCAGGACCTTTTTTTTTCTTTGGTCTGGTTTCGTCATTTTTGAGACATCAAATGACATAATTAGTTATTAACATAACTTCTATAAAGGCCTACATTCGTATTACAAATAGCCTCAAAAGGTTCATAACTGTACAAAAATGCAGAAATTTGAAAACTTAATAATCCCCTCCCGGTCCCCATGCCCCGGCCCAACTATAAAATGAAAACATGGCACTAACTTGACCTTGTTGACTGGGCTTAACGTGAGTCATGAACGTCTCATGTTTTGGGTTTCTGGGCCTATTCACCTTTCCGAGTCTCTTGCCGTTACTGTTCTTTTCGATGACAGCCTTGATTCCCAGTGCTGCAGCAACGGTAGCCTCGGCAATGAGATTCCTGCCGGATGCATGGCCGAGCTCTGGCAAGGCATCGTACTCGCAGAGTAGGCAAACGTGAAGCTTACCGGCCTCTGGGTCAGCAGCACCGTACCAGGCGCGAAAGCCCGTCGGGGAGATGAACTGTTCCTCGACCTCGAAGCCACGGTCACGTAGGAACGATGTCAACAGTTGATGAGCGTGGTATTCCTGTCGACCCAGCTCAGGATTCCGCCAGATTTCGTGGCCAAGATCTCTCAGCTCCTTTACCTGATTATCGATTGCCGTTTTTGCATTTTCGAACTGCACTTCCATGATTGTTTTCTTTACTCTGGATTATCAAAGCACAGATCAAAGTATCAAAGCTCCGACCGTAGGCTTAGCATGCTGTGACAAATAACAGTAGATATTGCAACACCCATCCTATCCCGTGTAATTTTCCATTCACGCGCTCGTGTAACATGTCCAAGTAGACTGATCAACGCATTATGTAAACTGCCTAATGGTATGGCGCGCCGAACCTAACACAAAGTTTAACCATTTATATATAGCTCTATGTATCTGACATTATAAATCTTACTCGAGTTTTAAAATGAAAAAAATTGATAAAAACTATTGTGACCTTCGATTTTATATTGCCATCCAAGCAATTTTTTGGCTTCACCGGAAAAAACACAAACGTCATATGGCCCAATAAACTTTCCAAACCTGTAATCCAGCGCTATTCGTATTTTTCTTTGTAGGATCATGGTTAGATCATAGAGCGAGGACATTCGATGTCGGAAAGGCAGACAAAAACCGTAGGTTTGTCATACTTGATCGTTGAAATATTTGCCCTCTATACAAACTCCAACCCAGGAGCCACGTGCATGAATGTGGAACGTTCCATTTTAGGGGTATGGGTGCTAAGATATAACGATAAATCCAGCATCATTCCATGAAACAAAGGTCAAACGTCGTTGTACTTGGTACTTTAATCGACTTCTAAATAAATTTTAGTTTTGTACGACAATAACCGGTTATTACAACAGTTATATTCCAATTTAATCAATACATTCCAAGTAATGTAAAATTCGCAAGTGTGTGTGGGGGGGGTAGCAATTGTAAACATAAAGGTATTGTGGGAGAGGCGGAGGGTAGGTTAAGGCCACTGGCTCCCCGTAATAAATTCGAGAATAAGCTGGTTATTTGAGAATAAGCTGGGGAACTTTGAAATTCTGTTACTGTTGTTTGGCCCCGATTTACAAGAAAAAAACAAGGTGGGGGTTCTTTAAACATCGTCTCCACTACTCCACAAATTGATTGAATCACATTTTGGAAATACCTAAAACCCTATCATTTATTTTAGGATACAATATACTGACAAAAGAGGATGAAATTGATAAATGATACATGGAATCAAGGATCAATTTGCCATGTACTTTGACATCAAATGGCATAAACATAATAAAATTTAAACTGCTCACATCAAAACAAAGATTGACCTGTACATTTACTACTAAAAATTGACAGCTCAACTAGCAAATGCAAACCAACAAAATTATGAACAAAACATTTACATGATTCTATTATCAATTAATATCAACTTCCAATTGTAATATAATTTTATCAACTGTCCTCATTTCTTAAGTCTGTTCCGTTATCACCGCCGGCTCGTCTATCCCTGGTAACTGTCTTATCCTTATCTCCTTCGTCATCGGATGTATTCTCCTCATCCTTGGCAGATCTCTTGAAAAACTTCAAGATTTTAGACTTCAGACCCCCGTCGGCTGATACCGTAGATGTGAGGACAAATCGGCGCGTGGTGAGGTTGTGGAGGGACCCAAAGCCAATGGCTACCACCGTGCAGGTGAGACAAATGACGTTGTAAGGCATGCTGAAATCAGGCACGGGTAGCTGGATAAGAAGGGGTTCCGTGTAGAGACGGAGGAATGGACTGCCGGAGACAGGATCAGCCAAGCTGATGAAAAACAAGACAAGATTGGACATCACTTGAAGCGTTCTAATCAAGCTGACTTAGGTTGATCACGGACCTTGAGTAGAAGGTCCATGGGTTGATCATCTCACTAGATGTTCAGGTGATACGAGTGAATTACTCCTGTAGCCATTTCTAAAAATGTTGTGAGTTCTAGGGCTAAATATGTCATTATTACCTATTATGGTGACTCAATGTTTCAAACCCAGAGCTTTAACGGAATTAGGGAAAATGGCGAGTGAAATCATGTACCTTCACAATGTGTTCAGTGTTGCAAAGAGGGCATTTTAATGGGTTTTCTTGATATATAGGAGGGGACACATATTCTTGGGTGAATGCTTTTAAACCTGCATTTCTGTTTACATATCATGCATTAAGACAAACCTTGAATGCAATCTGGCGCTGTGTAGATTTGTTGCCGAAAAGTTGCTGTGAGAAGGCATGATGGTGGACACTACGGCCGAACTGTGAATCCCCAAAATACAGAAAGAGCACCACCATTATCATCGCTTTAAATGATTGTTGTCTCCATTGGAGTAAGATGACGGCTTGTTTCATAACTCTAGTATTATATATTACCGAAAATGGGTCACTTGGGAGACATTCCCACAGGAACATGCACAACAATTTTCAAATTTTACCGTCCCATAATTCAATATTCCCTAATCCGATTTTAACCAATCTTTGCATGTTTTCCTTTCAGACCCTAATCTATCATCTCTCAAAATGTGGACGTAAAAAATACTCCTCCTTTTGGTAGTTGGAGCATTAGGGAGACATTGAAATGTCTCCCTAAGACCGATGTCTCCCTAATGTTGAAAAGTTTACCACAAAATGTCTCCCAAGTGACCTATTTGGAAATAACTTCTAAACAACCTCAAGATTTGCAACAAGAGATCTATACCTCATAACCACAAAAGGGCTTGTGAAGGCTGACAGTCTTGCTGGCTTACCTGATGTGGAAGCCAATATTTGCGTCCGGAGGATACTCCGTCCACTTCAGGAATGCCTTGTCAAACTGGACGCTGAGAGTAGTGACTGACTGCGGCGGTAGGGTCAAGACGAGTTCCAGGAGGTAAGGATTGGACCGGTCATTGCCTGGGGTATAAAGCTGCTTCTCTGCAGATCAAAGTTGTCAAGCAACAATACAGAACTTAGTCTCAAGGCCACTGTTCCTTTTTTGATGGAAATAGTGAGCGGTCACGACATTATTAAAGTCTTCATAACCTACCTGGCTTGATTACATGGAGGCTGTTCTCAATCTTCAGTGTATGTAAATACAGTCTGATAAACCAAGGCACTGTCTCCATGTAAATCACACGCAGGGCCTCGGTGGCGTGACTGTTAAACAGCTGACATGTGATGCCTCCCTGCTCCTGACCGAAACCAGACAGGAAACGGTGGGCATGAAGGTGAGGCGGCTTCACTGAAGCTGTCATCAGAATAAAGAGACATTAATTTGGGTGATGTTAGCGGAGGATTTTGAAAGTTTGATACTTTTGGAATATGGCTCATTCACTAAGCAGTGATTTCACAAACTTCTGACCCTTCATCAATTATAACCACTGTAAGCTTCAACAGTCTCCTTTGAATGCAAAATGTTGGTATTTGAGGTTAAGAACCTGAGTAGCTTTTCCTAATAGAAAGTGGAAGGAAATATTTTTGTTAGGAACCCAAACTATTTTCCTAGATTTCATTACTTACCATAGTGCACACTTTCATTCCATTTCATGGCAACATTTATCTTGTGCTCTTTGGTGATCTCTTTCAAATCGTAAACAGCGTAGGTGCGCCCTCTACTGTTGGAAATGGTTGCGTATTCTGGGGTGAGTAGCCATGGGTTGGTCAACTATGAAAATGGGACAAAACCTCCCATAATTATGCACCTGCCAAATTAAACTTTTTTGTAATATGGAAAAATATCTCTGGAGTTTTTTTCACCCCCTGCGGACATCCTCTCAAAAGGCCTCTTACCATCAAATTGACGTTTATTATCAATAAATAAACTTTTACAATCTAGCGATAAATCAAGGTCACTAATTACATTCACACTACAAAATACAGCACTGGTTGAGGGGGTTACAATCCATTTCTTGTGGAAAGATAATACATTTCAACTGCTGTTTACAAATTCGCTACTAGTGGAAAAGTCATCCGAAGGTGTGCCAATTTATTTAGAGTGCCAGGAACAATCAGGAAACGTACCGGTACATCTACGCTTCTTACATGTATAAATTTGCATGTGACAGATTACATAATGGAAGAAGACGGAATTATTAACTGACACTCTCATCAGAGATGTCTATGTAGATCTTGCTTTCTTCAGCCATGGGACACACGTTGCTTAAGGGACGGTCAAACAGGCTTCGCAGCGTCCAATCCTGCTTGCCGTCATGACTGGCTGGTGGGTTGAACACCACGGCTAAAGACTGGCTGAGCTCCAAGGCCGGCCTGGTGCATGCTGGGTAATCATCGCATACAGGTCGGAGGTCGACAGCTAAGGAGTGGTAGTTAGCATTGTACAGGTTGCCAGCGTGGAAGAGGGAGGACAGACCAGCCTGAAAAGGTTGTTTGGTTGATTTTCAAGGATTTGTGATAAAAAGCATTTGAAGGCAAAGAGAAAAAACATAACTTTACGACTGAAAAGTCACTTATTCTATGTAAATGAAACAGAAATTTCTTTCATATAATTTTGTTTCAATTAGTAAATTATATGCAAAAATCTTATCAGTTTATTCTCATGAAAATGAAAAAAATCCTTGGAATGACACTAAAGAGCAATCAAAAACATTTTCAACGTGTCAAATTCATACATAAGGAAATGAGTGAGTTTGGTCTTTCTTACGTCAACTTATTGACTACTGTAGCATGCTTCTTTGAAGCTAACTTTACACAGTGACCATTCACAAATGTTTGGCTGACAATGTCAAAATGTCACATGTTAATTTTGTCATTAAACGCATCTTGTTACTGGTCTGTCATTTACCTTAGAATCACATGGAAGAAGCTTTTTCCATGGTGTTAAGTTCTCAGTGCAGACATTTTCTCTCGGCAAGGAGGCAAAGCGTAAGTTGGCTGCATTCTTAGCAAAAGATTCTTTGAATGAAAAAAAAACACAAGTACGTGCAAAGGTAATTGCTCATTGTCAATGAAATAAATATCTTGATTTAATTCAATTTTCTAGTCAACCAAATGCTATTAATGCAGTACAAATTCTTCTACAAATGTCTTCTTGCACACAAGCAGAGGAACATGTTGCCATTTTTTCATGATTATGTAATACCAATTCGACCAATGGGAGGTTTTGAGACGCTTGGCGACAGTAGACAAAGTGGTTCTTTGTTGCCCATTCTGGGCATCGCACTTAATGCTGAGCATGCAGGCGAAGTTCTGTCTGAGCATCAGCACAATTCTTCTATTTAATAGTAAAAAAATAACCATACTCAGTTGACAGCAGAGGAGGGGGGGGGAAGGGGGAGAGATACCACTCAGTTTGTTCCCTCCTTCCTTCAAGAAACCCATGAAGGATTTCTGTAAATGAAGAACCAGATCAAGATGCAGGCTGGTGGGGAGGGAAGTGGGGTGTAAGGGATGCTTTAATCCCTACCTGAGGCAAGTCCACTTGGCTTGAAGGATACCCTAGGCTTAGCAGAGTTGGTATCATCAATGAAGTTGAGAGAGGCACAGAACAGGCCTGAGAGGGCATTGATCAGCCCCTTCCATGACTCGTCAACGCTAGCAATTCAGAACCAGAGAACAGGAAGGTTTACGAAGAAAACAGTGAATCTTGTTCTTGAGTCAGCCACATTGAAACTGAAAGCAAAGTTAACTTATTCTTTTCCAACTTGAGGTATCAGTGAATGAGTGAAATAAAATTTCCTGGCAAATTATTACCTGTGTACTCTGATGAATAAATTGAAATTTGGGATGAAACGTACGTTAGTGTACCTCTTAGAGAACACATCATGTTTCTCCCTACTGGTTGAATTTCAACAATTCAACATACATCTTGGTTCACTGGGTGTGAGCGTACTTTTCACCATTTTTTTTCTTAGGTGGGGAAAGGTTCCAAAACAAATCTTTTCTTTCTCACGTTACCATTTAGCAAAGATCTTTACTATATAGAATCATTACCACTAGTCTTATTTTCAAATTCACTGAGTTACTTTACCAAGGTTGCCTTTCAAAAGATAAGTTTCAAAAGGAGCACAGGATTAACTGCTTGCAGTTACACATGGCAATCTATTAACACTGTGAGAGTCGTTCACCTCTAAAATCTAGCCATGATTTGAGGCAAAATTTGCCTTAACTCTGAAACCAACTTCTGATACACCACTACGGAACAATGTTTCAGGCAGAGGGGTATCTGGGCATCTCTTGCACATCCCACAGGCCATTTTGGTGACAGAAATCCACGTAATTTTAAACTTCAGCTACTTGGACACCTTGTTTTTTACTTCAAGGCAAATGGGACCATCCCATTTCAAAATACACTGGTTAAAACCCGACTGTTGCAGAGGAGATTTTCCCTGAGAATCCCATATTGTGCTTACTAACCTTGGCGTGGACGGCTTGAACCACACCCACAGCTGTGCCCCTGAGGGTGCTGATGTGATTGGATACCCCCAATTCTCGGACCTCCACTGGCCTTGTGTCAAGGAGATATGAAGTTCCTGAACAGAGTACCTGGTGATAACTTGACCAAGAGCCTTTGGAAACAGGTTGTAGTGGGACACTGCCATTGGATGAGAAACATAAATCATCAGTTTTACTAAGAAGAGTTCAAGTTGTTGGATCGTAAAATAGACTGGTTGTCTGAATCTGAATTTGAAATAATAATACAACACACAAACTTAATGCATTCAATTTTCCAAAAGCAAAATGCACTAGCAACCCCACAGGATCAAATTGGCATCATGGTATGCACTTTACCAGAGAAAAAAATGTCTCAATACACTACAAGTGATCTATGTCACTTACTGCTACCAGGCCAACACCTGCTACCATAGCAATTTTTATGTTTTGAAGTATTGATATTTCACCAAGATCAGCAGTGTTCTCAATTGGTATGTTCTATATTTCAATGTATATTCAAACGACAGTTGACAAATTTCTGTATGCTATGGTAAGGCGGGACTAACGCTAACTGAAGCACTTATGTCCGTGACGGTATAGTCGCCAGGTTCCTTATTTCACCACTGAGGCCCTACTGTGAAAACCAATCAGACTTGACAGGTGGCGAAATTAGGGCCCTGGCAACTACACCGTCATTGACGTTATACACAGTGTATACTTCCAGAACTGTTAAAAATGTAAGGTTTTGCAAAAACTTACAGTTCTGGAAGTTTTGACCACCCAACTACTGAGTACTGTTGGGACTGGTCATCCTTACAATGGGTAAAGTAACATATTTTATCTTTCGACCACATCTGTCCAGCAAAGCACGAGGCCTATGCCGTCACTTCACATGCTTTCACGTGCCAAAGCTATTGGTATGGGTCGGGTCACATCCCCATCATGCAAATTGTATCGTGCAATAGACATGATAGATAAGCTCAAACATGCAGAGGCCTCGTTTCCATAGGCCTACTCATGTTACTGCAATGAATCTTCATACTAGGCAGAGTACATACTTTCATTCATTTCATTTGTGAGGCTCACATTCCAGCTTGTAGTGAACTGGAAGTGTGAGTAAACGTGTCCACTCTGTAAAGGCTTGAAGAACAACTCCTCCCAAAAGCTATCTTCACCCAGTGCACCCACGAAAGGGAACAAAACAACCGCCAGAACCACACCAAAAACCACAACACGACCTCTCCTGCGAGCCGCCATCTTGTCATTGAGGGCGCTGTTGCATTTTGTGGTCCGCGGAAAAAAAATCGAATCGGCACATGTGGAAGATGGCGTCCGCGGGGAGTTCTTTGTTGTAGATTTTCTCTTTTTCAGCGGCACAGTATCCCAAACCACGCAAGTATGACCGCAGCCAAGGAGTTGGATTATTTGCCGAGGTCGTCTGGAATATACCGGCTCGCGTGCATGCGGTAAAACCAGCTTTTAATTTGATCTTTTGCTAGAGGTGAGTTGTTTGCCGTCCATTTTTAAAGCTCCCAGTTTTGTTGGGTCGTTTTACGCGTTGAGTCCAGTACAGCGGATACAGCGATGGGCAGTATGTGCCTTCTGATCGGTACGGCCTACGTACGCTTTAATGACATGGTTAGCAGCCGCCGGGCGACGGGGATTGATTGGTAACCGCAAATCAGTTGTCGGTGCGGTTGTGGTGTATAACTCGAGTTGTACGTCTGTGGGCAGGTTCCTTCCAAACACTTATGTTTAAAATTTAGTTCAGAAGGAACCATGGTGATGCCGTGTTCGATTAATAACATGACTGAAAGTCTAAATAGCGTTAATTGGACATGATATTTTCCATGGTCAAAGAAAAAAAGAAAACGTAATGCTGCACAGTACCATTAAAACTTTTCCCCTTTAGCGTGTTTAGGCCCTGTTACCATATTTTGCATTTTGAAAGCCTTATTAACCCAAAATAAAGAAAATCTGAAAAGAACCAACAAAGCAACAAATTATATGCAGAGCTTGTATCTCGGAAAAATATTTCTGTAATTTTGTTGAGTTTATACATTGGCAAATAAGTGAATCACAGGCGATGTTTTGTACAGTAAATTTTTGAAATTGTCGCTATTTAAATTTGGATTCTTCAAATCATCAGTAAAACCATGGCTGTGATACTAAATTAGCAGTTTTTGAGTGTTGAAACTTCTAATTCATTTGAAATTTTCAATTTAAAAAATTTTCACTGTTTTCTCAATGTTAGTGAGTGTAATTTAACCTTCACTTAACAGAATCAACACTTTATTTGACGGAAGGACTGAAAAGAAAAGTGGGGAATTAAGCTAATAAATTTGGGCCATTTGTAGAAGGGACCATTTTATGTCAAAATGTACCTCCATAAAATCTCTCTTATAAATGCAAAGAGCGAAGGATGTACACATAGTACAAGTGAATGTCCTTTTTTTTTCATTTCAGGGAATGCTTAGTATTTACATTGAAATTGTTTCAAAATATAATCATTGTTATTAGTAAGACTGAGAAGGCGACAATGTTTTACAAGATGCAATAAGGATTACCATGATAATCATTGACATTCCCAGAAAGTTCCCTCAGTTTCTTACAGTTTTAACATGGTTAAATTTTGTTCAGTGACCTTATTGTGCAGTTCAAGTGTACTTCACTGTTAACGCTGCACTAAAAATAACGTTCACAGTACATAGTATGTTATCAGATTATTACTGATAGCTAATTGAAGGGAAGACTGGCATTTAGATGACTGCTGCTAAATATACTAATGACATTTAACTAATTTGTCGAACCACTTTCCCTCTTGCACATGACTTTCATATGAAAAGTAGGACAGAGGGAATCAGAACATGAAACTGTAACGTAACGTGTGTTCTTTGGGAATGCAAAATGTTGAAAGCACTGTGATTGGCGGAATGGGCAATGATCAACCACGGTCCTGAAGTGGCTTTCATAGAGCATGATGTGTTGAAAGTGATAATGGAGAGCGGTGTATTCATCAAAGTCTCACACGGCTTGAACTGCCCAACTGACAACAGGTGGTACTGTTTTTGTCCTCTATTGCCAGTGATACTGTGATGTTGGATTGGGTACAACAGAGTGAACAGTGATCTGTGAAGGAATAATGAATGCAGCAAGACGCCCCAAGAGAAAACGTATCCAGAAGAAACTGGTCAGTCGAGTTTGTTCTTCATCTTTAACTAGTTTTATTTCCTATCTTGAGAAATGGACTTACATGCATTGCTTGATTTTTTCCCCTAACCTTGAGGTCATTGACCAATGATATGTATGTGAACTTGTGCTTTTTAAATTGCATCCCATTATACACAGGTCTATCTCCAAGGAGATTTTTTGCTCTGCCAATTTTACCTGACAGGCAGCCACTAATTTGGAATGTTCAGTTGTGTCAAGACGCATTTCAACTGGCAAAGTGTTGTTGTTTGGAACTTGAAGCCAGCCTGCAGTGTGTTCACCCGTGTCATGAATCTAAACCTTTCTTTTATTCAATATTGAACTATGTACTAAAGGTGTGGGTAGAGCTGTGTGGCATGCATATGCTCGAAGCTGTTCTGTACTGCAGTGGGTTTCTGGTGAGATAATGTACAGTGATACTTGGGTAGATGGTTGGAGATCAGTGGGAACCATGCTCCCCCCTCCCCTAGAAAAAAATTCAAAAGATTTATTTTTCTGAAAACATTGAAAGATGATTTTTGTTACTGATTAGTTTCATTTCCTTTCTTCCCGAAGCTGGTTAAAAGCCCCCAAATGTAACCTCACCCCTCAGAAAGGCCATAAAAGGTTAGATGAAAAATTTCCAAATTTTTGTGCCCCCAAAGCCCTCCCCCCCAAATAGATTTAGTTCTAGATTGACCCTTGGTGATTTGATCCCGACTGGTGTGTTCTTAAGGGACCTTTTGAGAGACTTGATGTGCCATAAAACAAGAAGGGGCGTGTCCAGACTTGTTCTTGTTTACTCTCAGACCAATTATAGAGACTCTTAGGAAGGCCAGGGCTTGCTCTTCTTTCATCGAGGAATTTCAAGACATGACATGATCAAATTGATCAAATTCATTGGTTCTTGTCTGAAAAATCAGCCAAATTCAGCTGTGAAAAATGGCAAGTTGATAAATGGTATTTGCTAAGATATACACTGTAATACAATGCCATAGTGTTGACATGTCTTGGATTTGAAGTGTCTCCAAAAAGCAATCTTTGATTCTTCATTCCATTTGAGCGATAGTTGCCTGTCTTAAATAAGGTGTCAGCCATTCTTAAGGTATGTGTGCATTGTAAATGGCTGAATCAATTAGAGGTTATCGTTGCAAAGTTGCTGTATCTCCTTGTTTGGAAGAGGGAAAAGCCAGAGGGAAATCCTAGGTTATATACCCCGGAATTACAGCCTCAAGTTGTGTGACGTATATACGTGTACATGTGTGTATGTATCCGTGATGCACACGTATTTGGTTTCTAGGAAGTTCCTTTTCCAGCAAATGATCCTGTGTTATTTTGTTACTATCCTGTGTGAAAAGAAAGGGATTTTTTCAGCTTTGTATAGCTTACTGCAAAAAACTGAAAGTAGTACTTTGGAAATACATTTCAAAACTCACCAGACGTGAACTTTTATAAAGTGTTCTGTTCTTCAGTATTGACCAGTGCAAACATGTACATTACCTTGCAATTCTGAATTGCTACCTGAACTATAATGTGTACTTTATAGAACTCTGTGAGTTTTTTTTACCAAATATCGGTAACACGGTTTAGATGAGCCGTCAAATCAGAGTAGGAAATCATTTTGGATGTTTTGGTTCCCTAATGCTGCTGGATTTCCCGGGGGGATTTCCAATTTTGTTCAACACAGGATTGATCATGTTATGGTTCTTGTCTTGAGCTCGTTCTCCAGAAGTGCTGAGTTCAATGTGATGTCGCAGTCTGTGATCACTTGTACAACTTTCCAATAAGCCTTTTGCAAGTTAACTTTGACCCAAATCTGGTGCACTGAGTTCTTTAAATTCACGTGAACGTAACAACTTGAATTCTCCATACTAAGCCCACTGTTACTATACCTCGTGATTCAGGCAAGCTTTGCTTAGTTACACAAGAGACGCCTTGCAACAATACACTGTTCTCAGTGGATAAGAAGGGCAGAAAGGAACCAGTCCATTCCAGAGATGGTGGTCGCTATGCAAAAGTTTGCCCCAAATCACGAGGTAAAGCAACAGTCTCTTTGGTCTGGGGAATTCAAATTGTTATGTTTATGTGCAATCAGATAACTTGGTGTACCAGATTTTATTCAAATTTAACTCACAAATGGCTTATAGAAAATTATGACCAGAAGAAAGAATGATTTTTGTGCAAAATAGACGCACAAATGTGTGCACTAATACTTGTTAGATGTAGGGCTTTTAAACACATGATATTTCACCTATTTTGTGGGGACCGAAAGCATCACAGGGACAGAAATGTCCCTACAACGACATGTAGGTCCTAATTTGCCTAACAAATGAATTTGTCTCCATAACCTCGTGGAGGTCTGCCCACGTCCACCTGTTTCTGTGTAGTTTACATGCACATGAACAATGTACATGGCATGTGTGCTGGTGGTACGTCAAGTTCTACAACATCGTCGAACATTAGGCATTGTGCATGGTTTATAGAAGATTTGTTGACCATGACATGCCATACATGTCTGGATATGGCTATTGTTGAAGTTTGAGTTTAAGTGGTTGAAACACCTAACACGGTACTCCTTTTAACAGCACTGCTCTGAAGATGTGAGTGGAATTTGACCCAGGGAACTAGGTATCGGAAGTGAACACTTTTACCTCTATGATCTCGCTCAGTACCCCTGTTGGTTTCTCTTCCTCTCCCAATCCCGTCCCATTCTACGTGTATCTCACCGTAAACGCCACATGAATGGAAGTTCTTTCACCGGACTGTTTGTACATTTCATCCCAACCTGTTTAAAAGTCCCTTTAATGAAAGCCCTGGGGAGTTCCCCATCTGAAGGGAACTTGAAATTAGAGTAGCTTAGTAACAGTTTAATCCGTCATTTATTAACATGTAGGTCAAGTCCCTCACCCACAGCAGCTTCACTCAGTCGGCAAAGAGACGCAATCTACATGTACCCTAGGAAATTGAATGTAAGCAATAAACATTGCTACAACAACATTTAGCTCACCCGCTGCTACATCTTAGAAAGGAAATGTTAAGTTTCAGCCAGGCCATGCAAACATCACTCACTGCCTACCCTCATTCAAAAAGTTTGTAAACTAAAAGTCCGGAGGAATTATGATCACTTCCTTTAGGACCACAGCATCTGTTACAGTTATTGACGTACATGTAAGCCCCAGTACACACAGTGTAGTATTCACTCACAGTGCATATTGTAGGTAAGCTTTCTGGGGCTCAGTGGTATGTTCATTGCATATTCACGGACCATGAGATACATGATAATAATTATTCCTGGCAGATGATATCCGTTCAACTGTTTGAGGTTTTTGGAATGGATTTGTGTGAAGGTTGTAAGCTGCAAACTGGAAACTGATGCTGTCTTTTACATCAAAAACGTTGCACAATTTGTTCACAGCTTTTTGGTTAAATCCAGTACCTGACGAGAGGAAATTTGATAATCTCTGCAAAGTGCTCCTCAGTGATGCTGTCAACTAATTTGCATAAAACTTTAAAACATAAGACATTTGTATATACATGTGCATTGTTGTACAATCTTACTTGTGGTCCACCTGTTTTTATCATGAACTTGGTGCTGTTGGTCTAGTAATTGCAGATACGTGTAGAATGGAGGGTCAGAATGCCTTTAATTTGTGAGTATTTAATGCAAACATCCGTTCAAAAATCAATGGACTACACCTGTGTCAGCTTTCTAACAACAGACCACTGGCATGTTATCTTGAACTCTCTTGGAAGGAACGAGCATGCTGTGTATGTTCGTGTTCATCATCGTGTATTTTGACTGGAATGAAGTTTCTTGGGGGGGGGTGTCTTTATGGATCATCAATCAGTTTTCTCAAACTTCAATGATGATTTGAAACATGGATTTCCTGCCTGTTATAACATAATCTCAGGATTCTACCTCAGTTACATTGGCCTTCTTTTGGGTGAGACAGTGTTAAAAAAGTACTGAGTTTAGAATTTACAGTAACAAAGTCTATTTTTAACCTCTGGAATTCACGAGTTTGTAAACATACCAGTTGTCAATCTGTGAGGAACCATAAAATGAAACTGACACTCGGAGGGAAAAAAAAATTAAAGAAAAGTTGGAAACGGCATTCCTGGGGTTTAGATTGGATTGATGCCAAGCTTTAGCCAGGTGGGTACATGTATGTTTGAAGGGGGGGAGTTTACGGTGCCTGGATTTACTATGAAACCACAGCCTGCTGGCAACCTTCCATTCACCGAGTGGTTGAAGCAACAGAGCATGTGGGAGACCAAGCCAGATTGAATGTCCCCTGGCATTTGGCCTGAACCTTGGTTGAACTCTTTGTTTTGTCTGGCTTGTGTCTGACCACAGAAGCCAAGACTAGAGGCCTTGTATGATCTGACCAGGTGTCAGGTCACACTGGCCTTAAGCCCTGGTAGGGTACCGGTTAGTGGTATGTGTGAACTCAGCTCTACATGTACTTCCTGGTCCTGTGGGTGTGTTTGTGGGACCTGGGACAACTGTTCACATGTATACATTATTTTAAAAGGTCACCCTTTTGTACTGAAGTTCAAACTGTAAAGGTGCTGTTCATTGTTGAAATGTCCTCAAAACAAATGGGAAGGTCTTATAAAGTTCACAAAGGACATTAGACAAACGATAAATTCTGAAATGCTGTTTGTATGATTCGTTTTGCCTTTTCAGTCAAACATTGAGCCAGATCCTCTTCCCAGTCAAAATGTTTTGAGGCATATAACAAAAGTAAATATGTGTAACATACATGTACACCATGGATCATCAAGCCAAATCCTTCAAGCATATTCAGAGATGTGATAGTTACACCTAAACCATACTGGTACACACCGGTAGAGCCCGCGCACTACACAGTTTGAAGCTGATCAGTTTCCCTGTTTATCAGATGTTACGGATATTTGTACATGTATGCAACCATGCCGGTACATACAGTACATGTACATGTGTATCCATCGCACTTTGTAGGTCAACATGCATGTTAA